TCTTTCCCTTCTATCTTCTTAGTTTTTGTTTCCCTGCAAGCCTGGCTTCAAAACTCCAAAATTCTCTGAAACATTTTGGAGCTGTTTCAGAGCCTTCCGTTTCAATTTGGATTTGGTGTTTCAGGTGCTGAAATGGCCCAAAACACCTCCGAAACTAAACGGCTGCCAAAATTTCACACAGCCCTAAGGCTTAGTGGTCCTTGAAGAGACAGTTTTTTCCTATTCCTCAGTATACATGGGGTCAGTTACAGTTGAAGTCTCTATACATCATGCTGGAAGAACTCACACCTGTGTGTGTCACCTAAATCAGTAATCACTATGAGAAAGGAAAGAGACAGGACTGGATCTGGTACCTGGATCTTTGTACAGTACTCATTTATGCCATTGGTTCTCTATAATGCAGGTCTAATTGAAAACCTACAGGCATCTATACTTATGCCCAATGCCTGCTCCAACTCATTCTAATTAGAATGTATTAGACCAGACTCAATTAATAGAGTCTGCTGGAGTATGCTAATTAGCACATGCCAACAGGCTCAGCATCATGTGTATTCAGTATCCCCATGCTTCAAAATAGTGGTGGGGGTGCCTTAACTAAAGCTCATTGGATGTGTGTATTCAGTGAGCTTTAGTTAAAGCTTTAATGACACATTCAATGAGCCTTAGTTAAAGCACCCCCACCATCATTTTGAAGCCCAGAAGTGCTGTGGTCACTTGAATTGGAACGGCTCCCAAAATATTATCTTGCGTTGCATTTAAGTTGACTCTGATCCACATATGTGTGTACACTCTGACAGTTGAGTTGACTTAAGAAAGTTAAGTTGACGTAACTGTCAGAAAGTTGGTATGTTTTTAGACACCCACAGTGAACAAAATCCAGCTTCAAAACAAAGAGATTTGTTATCAAGCAGAACAAATCATTTGTTCAAAATAACCTATATGGATATTTAGTGTATGTTTTGTTACAAGCCAAATTGGTCAGAATTCCCTCTCAAATTCCATAAAAGAGTGGGTCCAATATAGATTGTTTAAGGCAAGGGTACCCAACATGTGTCAAACATGCCACCATTGGCATGGGAAGCCCATGTGTGGAATGCAGCAGATCAGGGAGAGGAAAGGTAGCACAGCAGCAGATAGAACAGGAAGCATGAGGCAGTGAAGCAGGTTGAGCAGGGGAGTTGCACTTAGGGGGTACGTCCAGATGAGCGTGAACATGTGAAATGCAGCACCGTGGACTCACCTGCAACACCACATATGCAGGGATTCCCCGCATGGCTACTTTGCAGTGTGGGGGGCTTTTTTGACCCTGGGGGGATTCTGGGGTCAAAAAAACCCATGCCTAAAAAAAGCAAAGAAGCACACATGGCGACAGAGTGCACCGTCCAAAACTGGAGCCTGGCCAGATGGAGCCAAGTTCCAACTGTTGGCCAGGCTCCCTGATGCAGGTTCACCATGACTGCAGCTCTCAGAGACCCTTAGAACCTCAGGCTAGGCTGCTGGGGCCCGCACAGTTGGTGGCTGCAGCCTCCCCTACCCCACCCAGGGTAACATGCCACGCACCAGAGTGTGCATGGCATGGGCATTCCCTGGGGACACGTAGCAGCAGTATAAGGTGTGTTGCTGCTACATGTCCCCAGGGAGGGAGCCAAGCTAATTTGTGGCACTCTAGCCAAAAATATTGGTCCCCATTTATTTAAGGAATTTAAGAAGCTCCTAGCACCCAAACTAGCCAGCCTACTTTCTAGACAGGTCAAGTCCTTTAATCTGCCCAATTTCCCCAGCCTTCTCAAAGAAAACTTCCCTTTCTCAAAGTCTTATCTTATTTGCATATGTTTGACTTCCTTTCACCATGTAGCTCACAGGCTTTTGCTACAAGACTTGGGTGCAACATTGCCTTATTTTAATAACTGTTTTTTCTCGGTCAGCCAGCTCAGCATCCAAGGGTATGAATGTACATTCAAATTACTGTTGCGACAGGGGGGGACAGTGCAAGGCTTTAATCAGCATCAGTTGCTCCACAGACAGTACCCATTTGTGTATTCTTACCCCATGGTAAGTTACTGTGGTTTACCTTCCTCTTATTCTGTGTTAAAAGCAGCCACATGGAGACTGTGGAGCATATGATTTACAATAAAACCTATCCCTTTTAACTCGCACAGGATTGTTCATGTATTCATGCCCTAAGGGAATATCCTTGCAATAGTTGTTCTTTTGTAGCTTGTAGTTCAAGTCTGGGGAAAAACAACTGTGGACAGGGAGTGGGGTATATGCTGACTGTCTGTGCCCTTGTGAAATGTCAATCTAATGTCTAAAGCAGTAGCCACAGTCCAGTATTCACCACTGAGCAGTCATGGTCTCTAATACTTTTGGAGGGGATAAATACTAACATCACGTTGGCAGGAGACAGAAATTAATTGTGGTATAGTTTGAAAAAGAAGGAAGCAAGAACTTGGGAAGGAAAGCTCATGGGAGAGTAATCTTGAGCACATAGTTGGCCCTGTATATATACACAAGGAACCAGACAGCCTGAAATGGAGAGAAATAGAACTGTATTTCCAAGAGGATATGGAGCTGGCATCAGAGGTAAATAAAATGAAAAATATCTGATGAAGGATTTGCAAGAGCATCCACCCATGATAACCCAGGGAATTCAATCCCAGAGAATTTTAAAGCCAAACAATGTAATGAGTCTCAGGTGACTTCCTATGATATGATATTAGAAAACATATTGAATACTACTTAATATTGTCAGAAATGTTACTGACTTGATAGGTAATTTGTCAGAATGAAATGTTCTGAAGGCACATCCTGAAAAGGACCTCTGCAAGGCCACTAGATAGTTTTCCTGAAGTCATGGTGTGTGCATTTCTCATTCCTCAAGAGCAAAATTTGGATGCAATTAGCCTGTCCCTCATATCAGTAAGGAGTAATGTCTTGTAGGAAACTATAATGCACTGCCTAGGTGTTGGACT